TTGTACCAGCTAGGAGCAACACTGTTGCACTTCATAGAGTAAATGTCGTAGATACAGTTCATCCATGCATTTTGGCGGTGTTTCTGAGAAAGTTGAAGTTAAATGTCATCTATTTATACAACAATGAAATCTTATTATGTCAGGGACTCGAAAAAGTTAAGAGAAAAAGCGCTGTATCCTCACATATCATATCTCTTTGAAGGTAACCCCCCTTTCTAATTATAAAAATGAGAACATTATGTCCTTTATTGTAAAATCCACCCGGACAGTTTTTCTTACTTGAAAAAGGGGACATCCGGGGAAAAGAGGGCGTATGGTAACCCTGTCCCTTGGTATCGTATTGCTAATTGCTAATTATTCTGCCTAATTTCAATGGTTTATCGTCACTCGTATATTTTACTATATTGTCTTCAAAAATTTAATATTTGAACTTGAAATGTGTTTCTGTACCGGTGTTTTATTGAAGCTAATATAAATTTCCTGTATAGATGGTATCTGAATTATGCATGGTTTTTGTCAGGAAAGTAATGATCGTTTCGAGTATTTCGCATCGTCGACATATCGACAATCGAAAACAATGATGAGCCAATGATGAGCCCAACAATGATGAGCTATACGAACTCTCGAGTCGTAAATAGGGCTCCCCCTACAAAGGTGAGGGAAAGGGGTTGCGGAAGAAAAAGAACTTCTCTTTTCACAAAATGAAAGAGGGCGCTACAAAATCCTCGGAATTATGGTCCAATTTTGTTCTAAATAATTGTTTCATGAATTTTAGTGGCAGGCATTGTTGAAACTAATAACTGATACATTCCAAATATCATTGAACAATATAGTAAAGTTAAAGTGTCGAATGAATGTGCAAAAATTCTGTGAAACAGTGCTTTACTTCACAAGGCATTTTTTGCATATTTGTGAAGTTTATACAGGATAAATCCGTACGTATTTCATAGATTTTAGTGCATATAAATCCGGTCCCTAATAAAACGTAATGTTCAGAAGAGTAGTTGTCACACTATAAACCTGCACATAAATATAGCTTTACCATGCGCACGTAATGTTAGGCTCTCCTTTTGCTGTTTGTGGTAGGAGTAGACCCAAGCGTGTGGGTAGCTGTTTTGTTCGCAATACCACAAAACCCTATATTTTGTATTAACATAAGAATAAACGACAAAATTCGTAAAGAAACGCTTGATTTCGTTTGGACAGAGGTAACCGTGATAATCTCTTCAATACTCGTTCATTCTCTCTCACAGTAACAATCTTTGTCAATTGTTTGTCGTTTCTTTTCCAGAACACTCGTGCCTGATGAAAAACTATCGATTGAAGGGGCGATGTTTCGTTGCAGCTTCTACTAATTGCTCTCCCAAGTTATCTTACGAGTCTTTCGCAGCCTCGACAACGACAATAATAATAATAATAATAATAATAATAATAATAATAATAATAATAATAATAATAATTCACCGCTCTGTTTGTTGCAGGATGCGTGGGGCGGCGGCAGCGGCAGCAGTGACGGGGCCTGGGCCAGGACCAGGGCCGGCGGCGGGGGCGGGGGCGGAGACAGAGGCGGAGGCGGAGCGACTAGCCGCCCCCGCTGACCCTCTACCCAACTCGCAGCCGGTGAGTGGCCGCTGTGCCCTGATTCATTCTTACTCTTTTCCATAGTGTTCTCTAGTATTTTTTCTTGGTTCTTTCCGAACCCGTCAACTGCCAAGGTCGTTATTCCCGTAAGTAAATTGCATGTTTATTTTCCACGTGGTGGCGGTGATCTTGCCCCGCTGGATGGCGAGATCCGGTGACGACCTACCGTCGGCTAGCAGGTTTTCCCCTACCCGGTATCTCTCACGAGCGCGGCACCGCCCCATCCGGGACGAGCTCAAAGCTCCCGACCCGTCTCCCGACGTGTGCGGTAGTGTAGTGCAGGTCAGGACAGTGTAAAGGCCCATTCACAATGCAAACATAAACATGAGCATGGCGTTAATATAAAAGTTAGCACTACGTCCATAAGCGTAAGTGCTTAAGTAATACATATGAAATTAACCAATCAGAGAACGGTAACTGAGAGTCGAGAATCGAAATTTGAGCGAAGTCGATACAAGAACTAACGCCATATGGACCATGGCCACAGTCGATGAAAGTCGATGAGACCTTGAAATCGATTCTCATATCCAACCAAAAGTAAACCAGAATGTCTCACAGCCAATAGAAACTTTTGTTTTGCTTACGTTCGTTACACATTGTGAATACTTCAGTCTATCACTTGTGTTAATGTTTATGTATACGCGCTATCCCTATGTTGACGTTTGCACTGTGAATGGGCCTTAAGTGTGTGTAAGCGGTAGGACAGGACATGGAATGGGAAGGAAAGATCGCGCGCGATCCGTGTCCCGTTTGTTAGGGTACTGCTCGGGCATTTACCTGGTGTTGATCGGAGAAACCACAGGTAACTACCGATCAGAGCAGCCGGCCGCTCGAATTCTCCGCCTAGTGTATTCCTGTTGTCAGTTATCCTGTACTAGCAACGGGGTGTTAGAAAACCCTCAAATTACAATCAGAATGCTTTGCGCGTACGTGGAGACAATTTCGAAAGATTCTTGTCACAACCACGGGAATGTGCATTTATGCAAAGGTATACATGTTATGCTAGGTATATTAGCAATAATAACTTGCGAGTCGTAAAGAAGTTACGTAACTAGTGAACTGTAAGACAGAAGCCTTGATTTTTTTTTTTGTTATGGAGAAAGAAATGATTTTCTCAAAGAAGGAGCGACCGACTGAAAGTCGTACGTACTTGTCATAGTAATTGTTAGGAATTCATACAGAATTGCGACGTTACGGTTCCTGAGTGAAAAATGCACCATGCCATGCCCTTGTACACATATTTGAGGGGGAAATTGGTATAGCTTCGGTCCCTCTAGGAAGAGTCAAAGTTGCATATTAGCAAGCATGTGTATTTCTTAAACACTCGGTTAAATGAAAACAAGATATGTTTATTGACCATCTAAACAAACAGTTTCGGCCGTTTTGAAGAAAACGGCTACTACTATTTATGTTCAGAATTTATTTAGCTTCCAAGAAGGGGGCCATTTTGGAATATTTTTCAGACGAAAATCTTCAGCGGAAGAGAGTGAATGAGTAAATTGAAGTCTGGAACGAAGACCATCGTCGACTTCGTAGCTAAATTTCAATAAGTACTAGAAATGCTTTGGAACATTTTTTTATATTTACTTGATTTGAATTGGTGAATTTGAACAAGCCAAATTGGTAGGAGGTGATGTGAAATTTATGATGTTCTAATCAATATAAAGTTAACATCGAAGGTCTTTAGTGGTGCATTAAAGTTCACTAACATTTCGAAATATGGAAAGCATACATATGAAGCACCTGGAGAGTATGTGATCACGGGAGGGACAAGTGAAAGTTCTCTAGCAAGGGTGATAAAACTCTGCCTGATCTTGATTTATTACTGATTCCGAGCACGTCAACTGCTAAAGTTGTTAGTCCTGTAAGTGTAGTGGGTTTTTTTATCGTGTGAGATCTTTCCTCGCTGGATGGCGAGATGCGGGACTGACATAGGTCGATTTGCACTACCTCAGCGCGGCGATGGTGTAACGGTTAGCGTATTGGACTGGTAAGGTACATCCAAGTTGGCGAGTTCAAACCCCATCGAAGCCGTGGATTTTCGCGAAAAAATCCTCACTACGCCTTCCTTTGGAGGGGAAGTAAAGCCGGCTGTCCCATGTTAGTAGATTTACTTGCATGTAAAAGATCCTCAAATCTAAATGACTTAGCCTCTGAACCAAATTCAAAAAACGCCTGTTTCTCGCCCAAGAAATTCTTCCTTCCATTGCTTGTTGGTGAAAGGAGCGTAGAGAAATTTGCAGACAGAAGAGCGGGCCTGATGGCCCGAGTCTCGTCACGTAATAGAAGGCATTAATTCAATTCAGCTGGGACAATCTCTACGCTCCCGACATGTGTGGTAGTGTAGTGCACGTAAGTGTACGTGTACATGTAAGAATGTTTGTAACTAAGTGATGAGAATAGGATAAACAAGAGGAAAGAAAGATCGTGCCCGTTTGTTAGGATACTGCTCCCAGCTTCGCCTGATGTTGATCGAAGCAATCACGGAAAACTACCGACCAGAGCAGCTGGCAGCTAGAATGCTGCTCCTGGCAGGGGCTGTATTCGACCGAGCTATGTAGCTAGGGTTGAAAATATTGCCGCCTCCGAGGTTTGAACCCCAGGACATCCCGGTCTGAGTTACTGCAGTGATGCCCTGAGAGACCTATGCCGGTCTTCCCGACCCCGATAAGTCCGCACCAAGCCCATTGGTCAGTTTGTTAGGCCGTAAGCAAACCTACCAGCGACTTTCAAACGGAAGCGCCGTGATGTACTAATAGCGGCGACAGCATCTGTCAACCAGTTGGGCAAAGTCAACACAAGACTTTGAGGCACATAGCCTCGACGCTAAGTAAACATTTTTTGGTGTTCCGAGTGGGTTTATGTCACTGTATACGAATGACAATTTAATGATGTAGTTTTAACATATGTTACTCCATGGGAAAAAGAGAAGACGAAATAAGCAAACACGAGGCACATGCAAATGAAGTAATTCGTCGTTTAGATTTAGGAATGTCGGTAACGCTGCTACATTACAACACCCGTACATTTCACAACAGTAATATTTTAAAGTTTATCTGATCGTAATATTTTCCCGTGAAATATTATTTAAAATAAATCGAATCGTAATATCACTTTGATCCTTCTCGATTAGCTAAGTGGTCGTTATTGGAGGGAACATTTGACTGACGTTTAAGACCTGAACGCAGATCATTTTGGTAAATATGTTGTTGCCGTGTGGTTGTCCTTAAAAACTGGCCAATTCTTTAGTTTAAAATGTCTAATGTATCAAAGGTGGAGTTGACATCTCCAGAAAAAGAGAAAAATTGAAAACGGTGTCGTCGTATTTTATGCTTAAAATTGAAAACGGTATTTCGGCTTATTATTTCAATATAAAATAATGGAAAATAAATTGTTTTAGTTCTAATCTAGAGACATAAGCTAAACACAACTAGAAGACAAATCCTCCACGTGTTGTCTCCAGATGTCTCCACGTAAGCTCCATGCCACTACTGGAGTCCCTGCTAGCGATGCGTCATCGATAAAAAAACATTCATGTTAGCAAACATCGACGTTAAAAATACATCGACTAAAAACTACCCATGTTTTTCAATATCGATGTTTTGAGACTGGAGTGCTAACCTCTAACATTACATTTATGTGCATTAAAATTTAATTTGAGTGTTCGTGTTTATCAATTCGCCGCATAAGGGTACGGGAAGAAGGGGCACACCCTATGCCCATAGCTTATTTGTTGACCATATCTCCATGCGAAATGAATACGAAGAAAGAGTAAATACAAGGGCATGGAGATCATTTCGGGAGAGAGATTGATCGATAACAGTAGTGCAAACAGAGTTCCTTTGATTCAAACACATGAATAACAGAGTTACTATCAGTTATTATTTCATATTTTAACTTTTAAAGTATTGTGATCATGATAATTTTTTCATTCAGAAACAAAACATCGGAAAAGAAAAAAAAACATCGATCACAAAATATCGATGTTAAAAAACAACGGTGTAAATCTCCATGTTTCTACAAAAAAAATTATGTTTTAAAAACATGGACATCAATGTTGCACCCTTAGTCCCTATCCTATACAGTCGTAGTATTTTTTTATTTCTAGAGACCGGAAAAATATGTAGAATGAGACGTCTAAATATATACAAAAAATGTCTGGGTCAATGACCCCCCTCTCGATCAGGTTTTCGTCCAGTTTCCGTTATCCTCGAGCAAATGCAGAGATGGCCCCTTGTTTTGCTTCTGGACATAAATGTAACTTCAAATTAACTTCACATAGCACGTCACAAAACGTTTTAATTGTTTTTGACGTAAATAAATGTACTGAAAACAGTAACAATACGTAATAAATATGTATTATTGTATAATCAATACGTAAAAATAATGTATTATTGTCTAATACGCTAAAAATATGCTATTATTGTATAATACGCTGTAATAAATATGTAGTATTGTATAATACGTATATAATAAAATATGTATTATTGTATATACGTAATAAATATGTTTATGTATAATACGTAATAAAATTGTAATTATTGTATATACGTAATAAAATATGTAATTATTGTAAATAACGTAATAAATATGTATTATTGTATAATACGTAATAAATATGTATTTGTATAATTACGTAATAAATATGTATTATGTATAATACGTAATGAAATATTGTATTATTGTTATGAATTACGTAAGAAATATGTATTATTGTATAATACGTAATAAATATGTTTAATTGTATAAGATGAAAATAAAAGTATTATGGTAAATATGAATACTAAAATTAAACTGATAAGAAAACACTTTTACATAACGGGGTCATTCCAACTGAGAACGAAATTTTATCGACCCTCTCTAAATTATCTTTAAAACGTTATATATTTTTTTCATGTTCATCTACAAATAAGCAGAAATGTGCTCATTTGTTTCAAGTTCATTATATTTTCATGATTATTGACATAACAGCAGTGTAAACAGTTTACTCCCTATTTTACAGAGCACTAAGATACAAACATTGTATTAAAGTAGTAAAATGAATACTAACCAATAATATTTCGAGAAGTGAGCATGTATTGGACACATAATTTTTTGATTATAGATAGTTTCTTAGTTGATTTTGGGCATGATTTCATTGCTGATTGATATACGAGGTCAAGGGTCGAAAATCTTGCAAAAAATCATTTCTAAAATACGCCATCTTCGATGTTGCTGAAATTTTGAGAAATTAAGAATTAGGGGATCATACGTTTAACATATCAAAAATCGTTGGTTTTTTTTAATCTAATTATCCCTCCATTTGATTCTATTTCCATATTTCTATTTCGTGGGTCAAAGGGAAACTACATGTAAACATTCTAGGAACATAATTATTGCGCAGGCGTCGGTGATTCTTTTCACTTCTAAAGGTGAAAAATGATCTCACTGGACCGCCGCCTTTTCGCCTCTATGATGATCTGTCCAATAACCATCGACCGGCGGTGCACATAGCGTTGCATGAACACGCAGTAATAATGCAGGAAATACTGCAAATTTTTTAAATACTTATTTTCATAAAAAAAAAATATGGAAACAAATGCGAAGAAAATGATTAGAATTAAAACAAATTTATGAAATAGCAAAATATGTAATATAGTACTATAATATGTAAAAATAGCAACGACAAATTTGAATATTGCTGTTAGGACGGCCACAATTCG